TTAATCTTCCACTGTGTAGCTAGAGCAGCAAAGATGCGTCAGCCGCGCGTCAGAACTAAACTGGTACAAGCATCGAAAAAGAAGCAGCATGCGCGTTTTTGCTGCCTCTGCAGCTTGTGGTCTGAACATTGCATCAGAATCTATCCAAACTATATCCAACTCATCACATCTTGACTGAACACTGAGGCTGTTTAAATGCCTGTCGAAATTTGCGGCTGATCTAAACCACTTCCTGCAGCGGTCATGTGGTTTGGAGGTAGCGGAGGCTTTGGTTGTCCTCGATTTTGGCTCCTCCCCTAAATGAAGCAAGGCTTCACGGAAACGCCCCCTCCATTACTCGACACGCCTTGAAGCCTCGGCTCATCTCATGACATCACTGCTGCAAAGAAACTCTGAAGCATTTATAGCATTAGTCTGATGTTCATGGTGTTCCTGAATTTTTGATGATTTTGGGCTTTTAAATTTTTAACCAACAACAGGGGAGTAATTCTGTAACATACAACTCTTAAAGCTACACAGGCTCTAAATTATACACACGGTCTCAGTATATATAAAACCTTTGGGACGCTCATTTCAAGTAGTTGAATGTTCTCCTCTTACACGATCCAACCGTCTAGCTTTTGATTCCAATATAGTTTTCCTTCTTAATTTTTCCCAGTAAACATATTTTAAGGAAACGGACCCACAGCATGATCCTGCCACCACCATGCAACTGGAGGCAAGAGTTCCTGGAGGGAACCTCCAAATGCACGGGGAGAACAAGCAATAATCAGGCTAAGATTCAAACCAACGACCGTGTTGCTAAAAGGCAGCAGAAACACCAGACCAGGAGAAACAATTTCATCATTACGATCAGAAACTAGCAGCTATTTCCTGTCAACCTCGAGTTTGTAAGGGTAAGATTACATCGTGTGAATTAAAGGCAATATACCATACTTTGAACCTGTTTTATAATTATTATTAATTATTCCATTCTGCTAAAAGCAAATATAAAATTTTATATTTTTTATGTTTATGATTGTTTCATTTTTACACGTGACTGTAGATAATCTAAATTAAGAGCAGCTGCAGCGACTCTGTGAAGAATCTATCTTATTAAAACAAACCTAAATAAGCTGCTAATCAGGATGACTAGAAGATAAAACTTCCTCTAAATGAAGCAAAGATCAAAACAAGATACTGAACAACTTTTTTTTTGTCTTGTTTCCTGTTTCCTTCTAACATGTGGTTAGCTTTTACACCACAATGATCAGGTGTTTCTGTAGAAAACCTTCACAGGTATATTCTCAGCCCCCCAGGGACGGCTGCTGGTCGAGGTAACTGGAGCTTCTCTTTATTCCCAGTTAACCAAACAACGGTAGCTTTGTCCTCCAGCAGCTGCAGCCTGTTACTCATTCCTCAGTTACTGTGTTAGTATGCTGCCAGTCGGGCTCATCTATAACGGAATATTGGGACAATATAAACAAGCCTTAATGCAAAAAATAAAACAAAAACAGCATTTTTGGGTAAAAATTCATTATTTTAGTCCCTGATATAGAGAAATATGAATCCACGTTGGCCTAACGTGTGAAAGAGTCTGATTTCAGCTCAGATGAGCTTCCACTATTTTCCTAAGAAAATAAACACGGTTATATTTTAGGACAAACTTGCTCACCTATAAGCACAGGTTGGCCTCAGCACTGCCCCCTGTGGAAACTATCTGAACTCCTACAAATCCAACAGGTGTCTCACCTTGAGGCTCATCTGAAGACAGATTTGGAGACCATCTGCCTTTAAGGCGGGGCATTTAAAGTCGTAGGGAAGTCATATTTAAATGTCAAATCATTCTGCCTTAAATATGTATATAAATCTACTCTTTATCAGACGATATTGTCCCAAAAGTTGGAAAATTTCTATTAAAATCTGTTTTTTCCCCCATTATCTTAAATTCAGCCAATCATATATCAACGGTCATCTGTCAATCAAATGTTTTCAGTCATAGCATCTTGATTCAT